TCACACCAGTCAGAATGGCTATTATGAAAAACTCAAAATAATAGCTGTTGATGAGGCTGTGGGAAAAAGGGAACACTTATACACTACTGGTGGGAACATAAATTAGTTCAGCCGTTGTAGAAAGTAGTGTGGTGATTTCTCAAAGAACTTAGAACTACCATTCAACCCAGTAATCCCATTGTTGGGTGTATACTGAAAGGAATATAAATCATTCCACCATAAAAATACATGCATGCCACATACATATGTTCACTGCAGCACTATTCACAATAGCAAAGTCATGAAATCAACCTAAATGCCCATCAATGGTAGACTGGATAAAGAAAATGTGGTATATAATCACTATGGAATACTATGCTCCCATGAAAAAAGAAAAAGAACATGTCCTTGGCAGCAACATAGATAGAGTTGGAGGCCATAAACCTAAGTGAACTAATGCAGGAGTAGGAAACCAAATACCACATGTTCTCACTTATGAATGAGATCTAAACATTGAGTACATATGGACACAAAGAAAGGAACAACAGACATTGGGTCCCTGAGTGGGGAGGGAGGAGGAGGGAGAGGATTGAAAAACTACCTATCAAGTACTATGCTTATTACCTAGGTGACAAAATAATCTGCATATTCAACTCCCATGACATGCAATTTACCTATATAATAAACCTGCATATGTACATCTGAATCTAAAATAGAAGTTTTTTAAAAAAGAAAGAAAAGGTGCAGGGAAACATCAAAGATATGGTGGAGAAGGCAGGGATGGTTTGATTGTTTCTTGAAGAGAATCAACTGGCCTGTATTAGGATTCATGGAGAAGCTATAGGCTTTGATATGCACAGCAGCACCCAATTGGCTTGATTTGTAATGATGACCACAGAAACCAATTTATTTGCAAGGCATAAAGTAGCTGTTTGCCATCCTCAATACAGAGGAAAAATGGGGAAAATGCACTGGAATGAAAAAAGGAAAATAGAATTTAATTTATTCTGAGTTGACCTGCAATTCAATGTTAAGACCAAGCATTTGTCACAACTGGTGTATCTCATCCAGAAAACATTGAAGGTAATGAACTGAGCTTACTAAAATGTACTAACCCTCCCGGGTTCAAGCAATTCTCCCACCTCAGCCTCCCGAGTAGCTGGAACTACAGGTGCACGCCACCACACCCAGCTAATTTTTGTATTTTTAGTAAAGACAGGGTTTCACTATGTTGGCCAGGCTTGTCTCGAACTCTTGACCTCATGATCCACCTGCCTCGGCTTCCCAAAGTGCTGGGCTTACAGGCGTGAGTCACTGTGCCTGGCCTGTTACTTCTTTCTTTCTGCTAACTGTGGGCTTTTTCAAGTTCCTGTAGGTGTAACATTAGGTTGTTTGAGATCTTCCTTTTTTTCTTAATGTAGGTATTTAGCACTATAAACTTCCCTTTTAGAACTACTTTTGCTGCATCCCATAAATTTTGATATGCTGTGTTTCCACTTTAATTTGTCTCAATATTTTTTTTTTCTTTTTGATTCTTTGACCCATCGGTTGTTCAGGAAACTTTTTAATTTCCACGTATTTGTGAATGTTCTGGTTTTCATCCTGTTATTGATTTCTAATTTCATACTATTATAGTCAAAAGATACTCAACACGATTTCAATCTTAAATTTGTTAAGACTTGTTTTGTGACCAAACATATTTATACTGGAGAACATTCCACGTGCACTTGAGAAGCATGTGTGTTCTGCTACTGTTGAATAAATGTTATGTATATGTCTCTTAGGCCCATATTGTCCAAAGTGCAGCTCAAGTTCAATGTTTCCTCTTTGATTTTCTGTCTGACCTATCCATTGTTGAAAGTGGGGTATTCTATTGCTGTCTATTTCCCTCTTCAAGTCTGTTAAGAGCGCTGTTATGCCATTCTTTCGTTCCTTTACTTTCTTAATAAACTTGCTTTCTCTTTTTTAAAAAATCTGTTATTTGCTTGATAAATTTTGATGCTCCAATCTTAAATGCACATATAATTGTTATATCATCTTGATGAATTTACCTCTTTGGGCCAGGCGCAATGGCTCACACCTGTAATCAGTACTTTGGGAGGCCGAGGTGGATGGATCACTTGAGGTCAGGAGTTCAAGACCAGCCTGGCCAACATGGCAAAACCCCATCTCTACTAAAAATACAAAAATTAGCCAGGCATGGTGGTACGTGGCTGTAGTCCCAGCTTCAGGAGGCTGAGGCAGGAGAATCACTTGAACCCAGGAGGCAGAGGTTGCAGTGAACTGAGATCATACCACTGCACTCCAGCCTGGGTGACAGAGGGCAATTCTGTCTCAAAAAAAAAAATTTACCTCTTCGACATTTATGTAATGACCCTGTCTCTCACTCTTGTTATAGCTTTTTACTTAAAAGTCTATTTTGTCTGAAATACATCCAGTATTCCCCCCTTATCCTCAGGGAATACATTCCAAGATCCCCCATGGATGCCTGAAACCACAGATAGTACTGAACCCTATATACATTATGTTTTCTCCTATATATACACACCTATGATAAAGTTTAGTTTATAAATTAGGCACAGCAAGAGATTAACAATAAGTAATAATAAAACAGAATAAATATAACAATATGCCAGAGTCACTACTCTTGTGCTTTGGGGCCACTATTAAGTAAAACAAGGGTTAACTGAACTTGTACAAGCATTGCATTACCACAACAATCAGATAACCGAGAGGACTACTAAGTGTCATATAGGTAGGTAATGTATAAAGCATGGATACATTGGACAAAAGGATGATTCACATCCAGGGCAGGGCAAAGTAGGATGGTGTGAGATTTCATCACACTACTCAGAACAGTGTGCCACTTTTAAACCTATGAATAATTTTTGAAATTTTCCACTTAGTATTTTCAAAGCATGGTTGACTACAGGTAACTGAAAGCACAGAAAACAAAACCTCAGATAAGGAGGGACTATATAGTAATATATCTACCCCTGTTCTCTTCTGGTGTCCATTTGCATGAAATATCTTTCTCCATGCCTCACTTTCAGTCTGTATGTTTCCTTAAAGGTGAAGTGAGGCTCTTGTAGGCAGAATACAGTTGAGTCTTGTTTATTTAATTCATTTAGCCACTCTGCCCTTTGATTGGAGAATGTAATCCATTTTGCATTCAAAATAATCATTAAGGCCGGGCGCGGTGGCTCAAGCCTGTAATCCCAGCACTTTGGGATGCCGAGACGGGCGGATCACGAGGTCAGGAGATCGAGACCATCCTGGCTAACACGGTGAAACCCCATCTCTACTAAATAAAATACAAAAAACTAGCCGGGCGAGGTGGCGGGCGCCTGTAGTCCCAGCTACTCGGGAGGCTGAGGCAGGAGAATGGCGTAAACCCGGGAGGCGGAGCTTGCAGTGAGCCGAGATTGCGCCACTGCACTCCAGCCTGGGCGACAGAGTGAGACTCCATCTCAAAAAAAATAAAAATAAAATAAAAATAAAAAAAAATAATCATTAATAGGTAAGAATTCACTACTGCCATTTTTAAAATTGTTTTTTGTTTTGTGGGCCCTTTGTTCCTTTCTTCCTCTCTTGCTCTCTTCGTTACTTGATGATTTTCTACAGTACTTTGTTCTCTTTATCTTTGGTGTATCTACTGTAGGTTTTTGCTTTGTGATTACCATAAGGTTTACATAACACTTTTTAACAGTCTATTTTAAGCTGATAATTTAAATCACATACAAAAACTCACTTTAAATTTCCATCCCATCTATAGTTTTTGTTTTTTCTTAGAGACAGGGTCTTACTATGTTGGCCAGGTTGGTCTTGAACTCCTGGTCTCAAGCAATACTCACGCCTCAGCCTCCCAAAGTGCTAGGATTACAGGCATGAGCCATCACACCCAGCCGCATTTTGTTTTTGATACCAATTTTCATCTTTTTATACCACGTATCCACTAACAAATTATTGTAGCTATAGTTTTACAGTTTTCAAGGGAGGGTTTTTTGGTTTTTTTGTTGTTGGTGTTTCTTTGAGATGGAGTCTCACTGTCACCCAGGCTGGAGTGCAGTGGTGCAGTCTCACCCACTGCAACCTCTGCCTCCCAGGTTCAAGTGACTCTCCTGCCTCAGCCTCTAGAGTAGCTGGGATTACAGGCACCCACCGCTACGCCGAGCTAATTTTTGTATTTGTAGTAGAGACAGGGTTTCACCATGTTGGCCAGGCTGGTCTCAAACTCCTGACCTCCGGTGATCCACCCGCCTCAGCCTCCCAAAGTGCAGGATTATAGGTATAAGCTACTGTGCCCAGCCTTGACTCATGTTTTCGTTTTTTTTTTTTGGTTTTGTTGGTTTTTTTTTTGAGAAAGTTCATTTTATCACCGAGGCTAGAGTACCGTGGTACAATCACAGCTCACTGCAGCCTCGTCCTCCCAGGCTCAAGTGATCCTCCCACCTCAACCTCCCAAGTAGCTAGCACTACAGGCACATGCTGCCATGTCCAGCTAATTTTTATATTTTTTGTAGAGATGAGATCTCGCTATATTGCCGAGGCTGGTCTTGAACTGGCTTCAACCAATCTTCCCACCTTGGCCTCTCAAAGTGCTGGAATTACAGAAGTAAATCACCACATCTAGCTAATTTATCTCCTGTGACAATCACTGAACAAGAACTCCCAAGATCTTTTCTGGTTTCCAAAGTCTGTGGCTCTGACCTTAGTTCTTTCTCTTATACGGATCCCTGTCATTTCTGCTGATTACAGTTAAGATATAAGAAGTGGCCTAGATCATGAAGATAATTGGAAGCAAATTAACTGCACCAGAAAATAAATAATGAATATTCATTGATTACACAGAGTGCTCTGTCATTTTAGGACCATGAGCACAAAGCTCTAGTCTCAACTTCTTAAAAGCCTTATTTCTTAATAAAGAGTGATATAAATATCCTTTATTACCTACTGGTCCATTTATGTTTGGTCGATTCAATTTAAAAGGTAATCAAATAAGCAAATTAAAAGATAAAAGAGACACTTTTTTCATATTTTTAATTACCATTATTGCACCAATACAGGATATGCTTTATATACATATATCTTAAACATTTTCCATTTTTCAGGAATTCAAATACATAATATATTATCATCTTGAGAATACAAAGAACACAACATGGAGGAAGATTGAGAAAATAGGTTCCCAGTATTTAGTCACTAGTGATTCTACAGACTTTCCTTTTAGTGTTCTCTATTGGAATTTTAATATGTCCTGCCATGGCTCTGCAAGAATAGAGCTGCCTGGAAAAGGAGGCAATGAAAAGAAAATGGACCCAAGTCAGAAAAAGTTAAGAAGGGAATCCAGGAAAGTAATATATTTTGAAACTAAACCTAAGGACTCCCTTCTGCCAGAGTGTACATACCCAAATAGGTGCAAAAGGGAAGCAATTAGATCTTCCCATTTCATCCTCAAAATTGCTCATTTAGAAACAAGATAGAAAGTACCCACTCACCTAAGAAGCAGAACTTTTTTCACAGCATTGTAAAAGGAATGGCAGGGCAGAGGGAAAGGAAAGTAGTGGGAGAACAACTTGCTTTTAAGATACCCTGGGTGACAGGTATCAAAGCCTTGGGCAAAACCTGTCACAGTAAAGCTGTGACTCTCCAACTTACTTCACAAATGACAATATACATAATAGCAGCTTTCTGTTAAAGAACTACATGAACTGAAAAGAAATGTTTATGGAAAGGGGCCAGATACCCAGGCAGCAAGGCAATGAGGGTACTAAACAAGAGTTAAGTGTTTTCAATCTCTCTGCTCTACAGATCAGGTTAAAAACTCTAAACCCTTCAACTTTAGGTCAAATAACAGGGCAAATACAAATTAATGCCATGCTTCAAATGCAGCAACCAGATGGAGCTGCAAGAAATTAAACACTCCTATAGACTATCACTTGGAAAGCACAGCCTCTTGAACCTCCTTCATTACAGAGACACCCACTGGTCAAAGATGTTACACAATTCCAATTCAACAAACAGAAAAGAATAGTGGAGGTGCCACCAACACAACCCTCTTATCATAGAAAGAGACATGTAAACACACAAGAGGGCGATGGAGCTGCACCCAGCACTGGATGTTCACTGAGTACAATAAGCCTGAAGGAGGCTACACAGCAGAGACCCAGGAAATAGGCCTTTCTCCATATCTACCCCTATCAAAATTCTGAATTTGTAAACACTGAGGTCAGCCTGTCCATTTTTAGTCCTGGGTTAGTGGAGAAGGAAGTTGCAAGGTTTTTGACTCCCCTGAAATTGCTAAATAGGGCTTCACAAAGAGGCACACAAGGGTCATGAGATGATTTTGAAATAAGTTAAAGAATTTAAAAGATGAGACAAATTTTACAGATGTTAGAGGTCATTTCCCCCTCAAACAGATGCTGGCCTTTTGAGCCCTGCATAGTCAGCCAAAACGATGATAAGATCCACTAGTCCCCTACCTTGGTACTGAGCAGGAGATAATAGATACTTTCTTGGCTGTACAAGTAACAACACAGGGGAGTGACATAAACCAGCTTGAATGCAATGGAGAAGCTATGAAAAAGATTGTCCAGTCATTTTGGTTCTGGGGAGGAAATGGGTTCCTAACTTCCCTCACAGATTGGTGCCCTCAAGGTCATTTTTATTCCTCAAGTCTGTCCTTAATGTCCTGCCAATGCCATTCAGAACTGGACCCAGTTGGATGGCTGTGGTGCCTGGTTTGGAACAGAGCTGCAAGACAGGAGAAGAGAGAAAGTCAAAGACATCATATTAGGATAACAACTCCATTCTTTACTTAATAGTTTCTAAGAAATCACTGCCTAGAATTTCGAAAACCACACTTCATGGCAATTCTACTTACCAAGGCCTGAAATAGCCCACTCAGACTTCATCCTACAGCTTTCTTGTCCCACCATTCCCAGCACTACTATATTTCCTTCACTATAACTCCTCCAGAACACTCTATGTGACCTGCATATCCATTGCTTCTCCAGATCAAAGATTTCAATTGACTGCACATATCTTCTATACCCTGATGGAGAGTACGCTAGTGCCACTGCGCCCATCACCTGGATGCAGTGCTGAAGTCTCCCCACAAGTCATTGCTTGCAGAAACTGGAGTTGGTGCTGGTGTCGTGACAGGAGCAGGAGAATCCAAATCTAAAAGGATATCTAAACACAAGGTAAGAAAAGAAAAAAGAAAAACATAATCAAAATCTAGGAAATGAGAATTTATGTTCACACAAAAAATCTGTACACAAATGCCACGGCAGCTTTATTCATAATGGTCAAAAACTGTAAACAACCTAGATGTCATTCCTTGGGCAACAGTTGCTCACACTGGTACATCCATACCATGGAATACTACTCAGCAATAAAAAGGAGCAGACTATTGATATACACAACTTGAATGAATCTCAAGGGAATTATGCTGAGTGGGAAAAGCCTGTCCCAAAGGTTACATGCTATATGATTCCTTTCACAGAACATTCCTGAAGTGACAAAATTATAAAGATGGAGAATAGACTGGTGATTGTCAAGCGTTAGGAATGGGGGAAGAAAGGATGAGAGGCAGATGGGTGTGGTTGTGTAAGGTTGACACAGGGGATCTTTGTAGTGATTAAACTGTTCTATAGCCTGAAATGATGGTGGATCCATGAACCTACACACGACAAAACTGCAAAGAACTGGCCAGATGCAGTGGCTCACACCTGTAATCCCAGCATTTTGGGGGGCCAAGGCAGGATCACTGAAGCCCAGAAGTTTGAGGCCAGCCTGGGCAACATAGTGAGACTCTGTTGTTACAAAAAATTTAAAAATTAGCTTGGTGTGGCAGTGTGCACCTGTAGTCCCAGATGTTTGGGAGGCTGATGCAGAAGGATCTCTTGAGCTCAGGAGTTTGAGGCTGAAGTGAGCTATGACTGTACCACTAGCCTGGGCAACAGTGCAAGACCCTGTCTCAAAAAATAAAAAAACAAACAAAAAAACCTGCAGAGAACTAAATATACAGATCCACACAAATATACACAGATGAGAACATGTAAAATGGTGTAAGCTGAGTAAGATGAGAAAGTGGTATAATGTCAATTTTTGATTTGTGATAATTGACAACAGTTTCACAAAATATTACCAATTGAGGGAAACTGGGAAAAGGGTAAACAGGATCTCTTCATATTATTTCTTACAACTGCATGTTAATCTACAATTATCTCAAAATAATAATTTAATTAAAAAAAAATCTTAGATACTATCCCCAGTGCCTTCTGGCAACACTTACGAAAAGAAGCAGGCTGTAACATTTTCACCTCAAAAATTCCAGAAAGAGAAAGCTTAGCCTTAGGAACCAATTCAACCAATTATCTGCATTGTCCAATACATTAAGTTAAAATTCTCAGATTCTAAGACACAGTTCCCTAATCTTAGAAAACTTCTCTCAGTTCCAATGCTCTCACTTTTCAAATGAGAAGAGGTAACTATATTTATTCTTTCTCCCACCAGACAGAAAAAAAGAATGAAAATGTATGGACAAACCTAGATTTCTTCTCCTTTTCTCCCAATTGCTCTTGTGAAGAAATGGGAAGGTTTAAGAAATAACATTTACTAAATGGCTACCATGTTCCACGTGCTATGCGAGGTGCTGTCAAATCATTTAACCCCTCACAGCATTGGGACGGTAATTTTTTTATTTTATCTATTTATTTATTTATTTTTGTTTTTTATGAGACAAAGTCTCACTCTGTCACCCAGGCTGGAATACAGTGGCGCAATAATGGTTCACTGCAGCCTCCCAGACTCAAGCCATCCTCCCACCTCAGCCTCCCAAATGTGCACCACCACGTCCAACTAATGTTTGTATTTTTTTGTAGAGATGGGGTTTCGTCATGTTGCGCAGGCTGATCTCAAACTCCAAAGCTCAAGCAATCCACCCACCTCAGCCTCCCAAAGTGCTGGGATTACAGGTGTGAGCCAAGGTCCCCACAGGGGTGGTTTTACATCTCCAGTTTGTAGATAAGGAAATTGAGACTCAAAAAACTGAAGTAATGTTTACCAAGCACCTTCAAATATAAAGTAGCAGAGCCATGACCAAAATCTCGGTCCATCTGACTCAAAAGCTTATACACATCTAACCAAGAAAAAAGTGAAGGAAATCGTCTTTTTAATAAGCATATATTCTCTGCCAAAGAACCTACAAGATACTACGACTCTTAGTTTACTAGAAAAGCTTTGACTCCTTGCTAGAAGCTGCCAGAATCACCTTGTCAGTACCATGAGCTATTTCATAGCAAAAACATGAACTCTCCTTGACAAACGGGTGTTACTTAATTAAAATATAAGATTGGATTTCTCAAAATTGGAAGTATCAGACTTACCTGCATCACTGCCTCCATGGTTAGATTTCGGAATGGGTGGTGGGGTGACATGATTGCTGATGGCGACTGAGGAGGACGGTGGGGGAATAGTGACTTTGCCTCCTGGCGGGGGTGGGAGTAAGCTCAGGCCCCCACCCCTTGCAGTCCTGGGCTTAGAAGCACCTCCTTTCTTGGTTGTAATGTTCTACAAAAGAAAAAAGGGAGAGCAAGAGAAAGATGTGATAGGCTTATGGAAGCACAGGAAAACAAAATTTTTCAAAACCATACTCACCCCGATACTCAACTTGATGGTTTGTCCTTCCTTGAAGCCCAGATCCAACTTAGGACGAGCATCCATTTCTTGAGATTCCTTGGAAATCTCAGATTCCTGCTTTACCCACCTTTGGGAACAGAGCAAGTTATCTTAGTTTGAGATTTCCTGAAAGCAGAGTCTGACATACAAATTTGGGTGTATTTACTTTTATGAAATGCGATTCCAGAAAGCACAGTGAGAGATAAAAAAGAGAGAGAAAAGAAAGGAAAAAACACCAAGAAAGAAAACAACTGGAGTTCAATCCCACTGGGGGCCCTCTGAGAAATCTCACAGAATACATATCAGACTTGCCCCTTCCAAAAGGATGGCATTTAGCCACCAATTCCCATTCCCCACAGTTGCGGGCTGCTCCTGAGGGGGTGTTAGTTTCTTAGTCTTTCCAAGTTCAACCTTGCTCTTAGCCTTCTACAACTTCAAAGAGTCCTGAGGCAGAAAAGGATATGCTTGCTCTTGAGGTAGGAAGCTGACTGTGCATAGTGCTGTCAACCACAGCGGCACCAAAATCAAGCAGGCTAAAGAAATACTGCAAAAGTCACAAAACACGTCAGCTACATAAGGTAACAAGAGTGGCACACAACTCCCCACATAAAGCCCTGCTGTTACTGTAGACCTCCCTCTACCACCTAAAAGACGGGGCAAATTCCTGTCTGGGAAGTGAGGAGCGCCTCTGCCCAGCCGCTGCCCCATCTGGGAAGTGAGGAGCGCCTCTGTCCGGCTGCTGTGCAACCTTCCAAGTGTGAAGTGACAGCCTTGTGTGTCACCTTTCTGCCTTCCCCAAGTTTGCATTTTCGACATTAAAGTTTACTTTTTAATTAAAAGTTTAAAAAGAAAAAAGACAGCGCAAATTCGACAGAGCATCATTTCAGACTACTGCACAAGGGATCTAAAACATACTGCAGGCTATAAGGAAAGGAAACATAGAATAGATGCAAAGATTACTAAAGGAAACAAAGGTGAATGGGGAGATTTATAACCATAATGAAATAGTTTAAGAAATAAAGAAACCAGGAGGAAAAGAGACACTGCCCATTCACGTGAGAAGCAGCATGCCTGTAAGCATTCAACCGGGGAACTAAGGACAAGCTTCACTCACTTGAAGTGATCCTGCAAGGAGACGTTAAAGTCGAAGGCATCTCCCCGATCTGTGAAGCCAATGCCAATGAAAGCACTGCGCCCTGTGAAAAGGTAGGAAGACTCGAATAGGAAGTATCCTCTACGGCAGGAGTCCCCAGCCCCCAGTATCAGTCTGTGGCCTGTTAGAAACCAGGCCATACAGCAGGAGGTGAGTTGTACACAAGAGAGCAAAGCTCCACTGTATTTACAGCCACTGCCCGTTGCTTGCATTACCACCTGAGCTCTGCCTCCTGTCAGATCAGTGGCAGCATTAGATTCTCAGAGGGGTGTGAACCCTACTGTGAACTGCACATGTGAGGGATCTAGGTTATGTGCTCCCTATGAGAATCGGCTGCCTGATGATCTGTCACTATCTCCCATCACCCCTAGATGGGGGTCTCCCATCTCCCCCATCTAGTGGCAGGAAAACAAGCTCAAGGCTCCCACTGATTCTACATTATAGTGAGTTGTATAATTATTTCATTATACATTACAATGTAATAATAGAAATAAAGTGTACAATAAATGTGATGCACTTGAATGATCCTGAAACCATCCCCTAATGCCGGTCTGCAGAAAACTGTCTTCCACAAAATGGGTCCCTGGTGCCAAAAAGGTTGAGGACTGCTGCTCTATGGCAAATTCTGCCCAGTGAAAATGTAACAGTCACCCTAACTAGACAAAGGCTGACTGTGAAACATCGTCTCACAGACCAAGAGTTGATAAACTACATAGAGCCCATGCACTTTATCCTGCCATAGCTTGGTTTTCTAGAAAAAGTTTCATTGGAACATAGTCAATATCAATGTGTTTATTTATTTTTACAGTGCTTTCACACTGCAACAGCAAAACTGAGTAGTTGCAACAGAGGCCACTTGACCTGCAAAGCCTAAAATATTTATTATTTGTTTGTTTGCCAATCTTTGTTATAGATCATGGAGAAATGAGTGAGAATAACCGCCCCACACATAATATGATTCAAGTTTTGCCCCACCAAAAACTACCACAAACATTAAATGGGCAAAAAGTGTTCATTCTTTTTTTTTTTTTGAGATGAAATTTCGCTCTTGTCGCCCAGGCTGGAGTGTAATGGCATGATCTCAGCTCACTGAAACCTCTGCTTCCCGGATTCAAGTGATTCTCCTGTCTCAGCCTCCTGAGCAGCTGGGGTTACAGGTGTGCACCACCACGCCCAGTTAATTTTTGCATTTTTAGTAGAGACAGGGTTTCATCATATTGGTCAGGCTGGCCTCGAACTCCTGACCTCAAGTGATCCACCCGCCTTGGCCTCCCAAAGTGCAAAATGTGTTAATTCTTTTGTTAGATGTGGCGTTTTGATTTATTTAAGTCTACATATGAATTACCACATCTTGAACTTGTGCTCGTATCTATTACAAATAACACGTTAATACTTTTCCTTTAGCAACTATAGTAACTTTAGAGAAAGGGAAGAAAAAAATGAAGTCAACCAAAGAAAGATAAATGCAATCGGACACACTTTTCATGGCCGTGCATTCACCTGTTTTCCTAACTTCGTTCCATTCACAATCCCAGTTCTCTTACCAGTACCATCCTGGATCCGGATGACAAAGTAGCGGCTGGAATCTGTCACTGTCTCCACAGCAATACCAGGATATTGTTCTACTGGAGCCTGAGCAAAAAGCTCCCCTGACAGAGAAGAGAAAGACTTTTGTGAACAAAGGAAGCCAAAATCCAGAACTCTAGTTAACAAGTATTTCCATTCCAGTTCCCAAATTGAAGGTACTTATAAAAGCACACCAAATTAATATCCTTAATGTTAGAGGGTCACCAGTGAAGATTACCTGAAACTTTATCCTCGAGTTTGATATAGGCAATCTTCCCTTTTGAAGTGATTCGGAGGCGACCAGTCCAATCTGGCTGGTCTAATTTCCAGTCAGATGCCCTAGGAGAGGAGAAGAGGAAGGCTCAGGCACATGTCCTTAATTTACTGAAGCCTACCCAGAATCTGTTACTGTATTTCTATTTCCCTGCCCTGGACTACCTATTCTTTCTACCTATTAATCAACAAGAATAATTCATGATATATTTAGATGCCTCATGTTACATATAGTCCAAAGCAAGTAAAAGACAATGCTACTACTTGAGGACTTTGGAGTCCAATAAGCATCATTAAAAAGATGTAAAAGCACGAATAAAAGCAATAAAAAATAAAATTCTGGCTGAGCGTGGTGGCTCAAGTCTATAATCCCAGCACTGTGGGAGGCCAAGGTGGATGGATCACTTAAGTCAGGAGTTTGAGACCTGCCTGGCCAACATGGCGAAACCCTGTCTTCTAGAAACACAAAAATTTGCTAGGTATGGTGGCATACACCTGTAATCCCTTGGGAGGCTGAGGCAGAATCAATTGAACCTGGGAGGTGGAAGTTGCGGTGAGCCGAGATTGCGCTGCTGCACTCCAGCCTGGGTGATACAACAAGATTCGGTCTCATATAAATAAATAAATAAAATTTCTCACAACGATGCTATTTTCAAACTATAGATGGTATACTAGATAACAATGCTTTACTAATCAGACAACATCAAAGTCTACTCAATTAAATATCCTAGATAATGGGAGCCCTCCCAAATCACTAAATATACTATCTTTCACTGAATTCAATCAATATGTATACAATATTTATTAAGACAGAGGCACCACTATTCTAGATGCTTGGGATACAACAGCAATCAAAACAAAGATTCCTACCCTCATGAGGCTTACATTTTAATAGAAGATAGAAAATAAAAAAGAAACAAACAGCATAATTAGTATCTTAGAAATGGTAAGTTCTAAGGTAAAAAGAAAATGTAGAGGCAAATTAGGAAGATTGAGAAGACAGTGGGAGAATGAACAGGTTGTAGCATTCAAGAGGGTGGTTGGGGTAGGTCTCATTAAGGTGAAATGTGAACTAAAATGTGAAGCAAGTAATATCTATATTACCCATATAGATATCTAGGGGGAAAAGCATTCTAGACATAGGGAACAGCTAGCCCAAAGGTGCTAAGGTGGGTGCATGCCTGGCATGTTTGAGAGACAGCAAGGAAGCCACTGTGGTCAGAACAGAGTAAGAGACAAGGTAGGAGAGGTAACAGAGGGCCAGATCATGCAGGGCCTTGTGGGCCATAGGAACAACTTTAGCTTTCACTCTGAGTGAAAAAAGAGCTATTACAAATTTTAAGCAGAGGTGTGACATGATCTCCCTTATATTCTAAAAAGATTACTACATCTGCTGTCCGGAGAAAAGCTGTAGGGATAAGAGGACTGAAGCAGTGGGATTAGCTAAGAGACTACTGCAGTAATCTAGAAAAGTCACAATGGTAGCAGAAGTGGCTAGATTCTGGATATACTTAGGGTACAAGCAGCAGGATTTTCTAATGGATTAGATATGGGATAGAGGACATAAACAGAAGTCAAGGACAACTCCAAGGTGTTTAATCTGAGCAAAGGAGTTGCCAATTATTGAGATGAGGTGGAACACGTCTAGGAAGAAGGATCAGGGGTTCAGTTTTAAATATGCTGAGTTTGAGATGTCTCGTAGATTTTCAAGAGATGTAGAGTAGGCAGTAAAATATATGAGATGAGTTCAAGAAAGATACACGTTTGGAGAAAGAAAGACGTTTGGAGATACAAACGTCCATGAAAACATTAGAAATTTATAAAATGTGTTATAATCAACTTGAACAACAACTAAGATTATTTATGATGAATTTTACAAAACATTGTATTTGTGATTTGTTTTGCCAGGAGTATGGAAAAGAGATTAGCAAAGTAAAAGTTATTAATAATTCATCTTTTAGGAAACCAATGACTAATACTTAAAGGCTAGAAAAGCAACAATAAGGTATATATGAATGAGTTTAACAAGATGAGAGGTAAAAAGCTGAAAGGAGGAAAATGAAAGTGAAAATTAGCACAGGTTTTGAACAGGATCTGTAAAATAAATCCTTCCCATTCTCTTCGCTCTTGATTCCCTGCCCTCAAAGACCCTCAAGTACCTAAATCTGATCCAGATTACAGAGCTCTAAAGTTCCTCATCTATTATACTTTTTTAATGAGTCATTACTTATTATAATCATGCCACCAAAAGCTAATGTAAATGGACTATTAAAAATATTAGGAACAGCCAGGCACGGTGGCTCACACCTATAACACCAGCACTTTGGGAGGCCAAGGCAGGAGGACTGCTTGAGCCCAAGAATTTGAGGTTGCAGTGAGCCATGATCGCCCCACTGCACTCCAGTCTGAGCGACAGGGTGAGACCCTGTCTCTAAAAAAAAAGAATTAGGAACAAGCCTATTAAATGTGTTTTTCATGGATGAGTTCCTTATTTATCTTGTGTATCTAGTGCCCAATATTTAATAAATTCTGTAAGTAAATGGATATTCGTGGCAGCAGATTCCCTCAGCCTTGAGACTTAATTCCTTTCCTACTCCAAGACCTAATCTAAAGAACTCTTGATTTTGCTGGTCCTCTGACAATACTTTAAACTCACCTCACAAATTTTCATTTGCCTTAGTAATAAAACTTTATATATATTAATAAAAAACCATTATGATGATTCACAGTAAGATTCCACATGTACATTTTATTATGTCCTTATAGTAGCTATGTGAAGTAGGGATGAAAAGCCTATCATACCTCTCTCTCTCTAAATGATGGAAAGGAAAACACAGTAATAATGCCTAACTTCAAAGTCCATTATTCTTTCATTACACTGAAACACATTATAGAGGTTAATATTGATTTAGCTAAGGGAAGAGGGTAGTGACGAATATTTTTAAAAAATAGTTTTACAGGTTGGAACTGTTTTCTACCCATTTATTTATTTGTGTGTGTGTGTGTGTGTGTGTCTGTGTGTGTGTGTAATAGAGTCTCACTCTTCCACCCAGGCTGGAGTGCGCTGGCGCGATCTTGGCTCACTGCAACCTCCGTTTCCCGGGTTCAAGCCATTCTGTTGTCTCAGCCTCCGAAAAGTAGCTGAGATTACAGGTCCGGGCCACCACGCCTAGCTAATTTCCTTTGTATTTGTAGTAAAGACGGGGTTCCACCATGTGGGCCAGGCTGGTCTCAAATTCCTGACTTCAGGTAATCCGCCCGCCTTGGCCTCCCAAAGTGCTGGAATTACAGGAGTGAGCCACCGCGCCCAGACTGTTTTCTAAGCATTTGTAAGGTTTTTTGTTTGTTTTGAGACGGAGTCATGCTCTGTCACCCAGGCTGGAGAGCAGTGGCATGATCTCAGCTCACTACAACCTCCGCCTCCCGGGTTCCGGCGATTCTCCTGCCTCAGCTTCCCAAGCAGCTGGGACTACGGCCGGGCGCCACCACGCCTGGCTAATTTTTTTGTATTTTTGTAGAGACGGGGTTTCGCCATGTTGGCCAGGCTGGTCTGGAACTACTGACCTCAAGTGATCCGTGCGCCTCGGCCTCCCAAAGTCCTGGGATCACAAGCGTGAGCCACCACACTTGGCCTAATAAGTTTCTTCTCAACCCCAATTTTCCTTCTCATAGTCTAGAAGTCTGGTCAGTGAAAGTCCGGGAACGAACAGCTTACACTAGGTGAATTAAAGTCAATTATTCTCTTTAATCTTATCAGTCACTCAAAGGAAAAATTCCTTCTGCTTTCTGAAAAGCCCAGTTTGTTCTTTAACGTCGGCCTAGAGAATAAATCCTGCTTATAATATAAAGTGGGTTCTAGTAAACAAGGAAGATTATGCAGACAAAAAGAAAACTACCATTTATCAAGCATTTATTATGTGCCAGGCATCATGTCTATTCTTGTGAAAATTAAGTTAGAGGGCCCGGCACAGTGGCTTATGCTTGTAATCCCAGCTCTTCAGGAGGTTGAGGTAGGTGGATTGCCTGAGGGCCAGGAGTTCAAGACCAGCCTGGCCAACATGGTGAAACCCCATCTCTACTAAAAATACAAAAAATTAGCCGAGCATGGTGGCGCACATCTGTAATCTCAGCTACTCAGGAGGCTGAGGCACAAGAATCGCTTGAATCTGGGAGGCAGAGATGGCAGTGAGCCGTTATCGCACCACTGCACTCCAGCCTGGGTGACAGAGCAAGACTCTGTCTCAACAAAAAGAAAAGAAAAGAAAAGAAAAAAAAGAAAAGAAAAGAAAAGAAAGAAAATTAAGTGAGAGGATCCTACAAGGTAAGTATTGTTACAGTCATTTTTACAAATGAAGAAACTAACATTCAAAAGTGGTAAGTGATTTGTCAAAAGTAACCCAGCAAATAAATATTGTTATTCAAACTTAATTCTGCTCTCCTCATGTACTATACTAAAAAAGTGACTGATGATAACATGTCTCTTGGAGGATTAAAAAATGCCAATAGGCATGAAAAACACAGAAGTATAACAGGAAAAAGAGGAAAATTAAGAAACTGCTTTAATGGCTCAGTGCAGTTAACTGATGTAAGTATCAAGGTTGTGGAAAACTAGGAAGTGAAGATAGAGAATGCATATGGGTGAGAGAGGCAAGGTGTTTTAAAAAGCTTGAAGTGGGCCAGGCGCAGTGGCTTATGCCTGTAATCCCAGCACTTTGGGAGGCCACAGCGGGCGGATCACGAGGTCAAGAGTTTGAGACCAGCCTGGCCAACATAGTGAAATCCCGTCTCTACTAAAAATACAAAAATTAGCCAGGCATGGTGGTGTGCACCTGTAGTCCCAGCTACTTGGGAAGCTGAGGCAGGAAAATCACTTGAACCGGGGAGGTGGAGGTTGTGGCGAGCTGAGATTGTGCCACTGCACTCCAGCCTGGGCAACAGAGTGAGACTCCATCTCAAAAAAAAAAAAAAAAACTTGAAGAAAAAGAATATAATCCCACTTCAATGTGTATCATATCCTTAACTCCTAAAGTTGGAAGTAAAGAGCTATTTGACCTTATTTAACAGTTCAATTAATGCCAATTTATGTGATTAGGTTTCTCTGTGTAATCTACTGATTTCTTCTTTCAGTCAACATTTACAGAGTGCCCAAAGTGTACCAGATATGGTACTAGACCCTGGGAATATAAAGTTAAAAAGATCTCAAGTTGTTCACAGTCCAGTCTGGAGAAAAAAGGAGACTAAACAATCCATTACAATACAAAATGAAGAGCCCTGGAATACAGACAAGAACAAAGTGCTATGCAGGAACAGAAAACCAAACACCACACGTTCTCACTCACAAGTGGGAGTTGAACAATGAGAATGCATGGACACAGGGAGGGGAACAACATGCACTGGGGCCTCTCAGGGTAGGGGCGAGGGTGACAGGTTGACAAGTGCAGCAAACCACCATGGCACATGCATACCTATGTAACAAAACTGCACATTCTGCACATGTATCCCAGAACTTAAAGTTAAAAAAAAAGAAAAAAGAATAAGGTGCTATGGAAGCACACAGGGTGCATATCTAAACCAGAATGGAAGGGTCACATAGGGCTTCCCAAAGAAGGTGATGTTTAAGTGACTCATATAGTACCTGTAACTACCATCTAAAAGCATGTTGATTTCTACTCAGGGTCAGTTTGGGGTCCAACTAAAAACTTATTAAAAACACAACTGCTACCTCTTTGCCAAAGGTGCAACCCACAAGGCCCAGTGCACAGGTCAGCAAGCATAAAAATATCAATTCATGATAAATAAAACTCCAGTAAGGGGCAAAATAATAGACATAAGGAGAGGGTAATTTTTCAGCCAAGGTAATGATAAATGCCAGGAGGAAAAATCATAATGATGATGTGGGTCAGAGAGAAGAATAAGAACAGTATCTTGGCCAGGTGCAGTGGCCCACACCTGTAATTTCAACATTTTGGGAGGCTGTGGCAGGAGAATCACTTGAGGCCAGGAAATCGAGACCAGCCTGCGCAATATATCAAGATCCTGTCTACACAAAAAAATTTAAAAATTGGCCAGGCATGGTGAGGCAATGCCTATAGCCCTAGCAACTTGGGAGGCTGAGGTAGGAGGATCCCTTGTGCCCAGGAGTACGCAGCTGCAGTGAGCTATGATCGCACCACTGCACTCCAGCCTAGATGACAGAATGAGACCCTACCTCTCTAAAACAAAAACAAAAACAAAAAAAAACCCGACGCCTGGGTGAGGTATCACACCTGTAATCCCAGCACTTTGGGAGGCCAAGGTGGGCTGATCACAAGGTCAGGAGTTCAAGACCAGCCTGGCCAACTTGGTGAAACCCCATCTCTACTCAAAATACAAAAATTAGCCCAGTGTGGTGGTGCGTGCCTGTAATCCCAGCTATTCAGGAAGCTGAAGCAGGAGAATCGCTTGAACCCGGGAGGCAGAGGTTGTAGTGAGCTGAGACTGAGCCATTGCACTCCAGCCTGGGCAACAAAGCTAGACTCTATCTAAAAAAAAAAAAAAAAAAAAAAAAAAAAAAAAAGGGCCGGGGGGGGGGGCAAAACCCCTAAACCCCCCACTTTGGGGGGCGCGGGGGGAGGATGACGAGGTCAGGAGATCGAGACCATCCTGGCTAAAATCGCTTGAACCCGGGAGGCAGAGGTGGCAGGTTGTAGTGAGCTGAGACTGAGCCATTGCACTCCAGCCTGGGCAACAAAGCTAGACTCCATCTGCAAAAAAAAAAAAAAAAAAAAAAAAACGAACAAGGGCCGGGCGCGGTGGCTCAAGCCTGTAATCCCAGCACTTTGGGAGGCCGAGGCGGGCGGATCACGAGGTCAGGAGATCGAGACCATCCTGGCTAACCCAGTGAAACCCCGTCTCTACTAAAAAATACAAAAAACTAGCCAGGCGACGTGGCGGGCGCCTGTAGTCCCAGCTGCTCTGGAGGCTGAGGCAGGAGAATGGCGTAAACCCGGGAGGCGGAGCTTGCGGTGAGGTGAGATCTGGCCACTGCACTCCAGCCTGGGCGACAGAGCGAGACTCTGTCTCAAAAAAAAAAAAACAAAACAAAAAACAAAAAACGAACAAATAGTATTTATAACTGCTTTACTGCATTTCCTACATTCTTTCACATCCATTATATGACTTAATTTTACTCTCCCAAAAACCCTTGTTAAGTACATTATCAGGAGAGCACAGGTATCGTCACTAACAGGTTTTTTTTTTTTTTCTATTTTACAGATGAGAAAACTGAGCTTGGAAGGGGCTCACACTCATATTGTTTAACATGAAGCCCAGTGAACTGTCTTTCAACTACATAATGTCCTACAGCATCCTCAGAACCTCACAGTCATTGGATTACAAGGTGGTTAGTTAGGCCCTACAGAGAAAAATGCTGCCTCAACTTTGGAGGGAAAAGGTGTAGGAGAGGTTAAGAAGGGAGGTAGGGAAGGAAGACAGAAAATACTATCTAATCATCAAGAAAATACAATGAGAAGAAACAGAATGAACAACCATTCTAAAGCTTATGATCATAACCTTTGCTCACTGGTAAAACAGCTGAAGGAAAAACCGAATGGTGGATGATGACAGTTGGTGACGAAATTGACAACAGTACAAAAAATAAATCAGATCATCCAGAGAGTGGCAAGCAACACGATTACCCATAAATGTGCGTGGGGAACTGGAAAGGTGTGTGACCTGGAAATGTGCATGGGGAACTGGAAAGGGGAACTGGAGAGAGGATGAGGATGATAAGCTGAAGGACGCAGAGAAGAGCGAATGAAAGGGGACTGGCGATGGAGCAGGCACGACTGAAAGTGGATGATGGGGAGCAGATGGGTGTCCCAGCGGGTTACGGGGGAGGCGGAGTGGAATAATGCAGAGTGGTCATTTAAAAAAAAAAAAAAAAAAAAAAAAAACACGGCAGAAATATGGTGATGACACTCCAGAGTGGAGATGGAGCAGGAGGTCGGGGAGACGACAACCCAGGTAGGAAGGCTAGCAAGGTGACAATACAGAGGTAGTAGTGGCAGGGACGGGCAGCGTGCTAGCTGAGGAGGAAGCTGTCACCTGCGACAGGGTACGCGTGTGCGGCAGCGCCTCAGGGTTAGTACCTGTAACCGCGGTTGGAGGCCCGGGGCGGAATCCGGTAGACGCTGACGTCCGGCTTCACACACAGCACAGACTCGTACTCCAATTCGGCCGCCATCTTGGCTCCGCTGTCCGCGCTGCCGGGGGCGAAACGTAAGACCGGGGACGAAACGTAAGACCGGGGGCGGAGCACGGGAGGCGGAGATGCAAAGCGCGACAACTTCTGCTTGCGTCACTTCCGCGTGAGTTCAAGTTCGTTTCTGATATTAACCTCTTCGGTGACGCGGGGAGCCATATTGAAACCTGGAAACGATGAGGCTGCGCGGCTCACCATCTTGGGTAATGGCAAAGATGCCTCCAAGTGCGTGACTCTCGTTATGGAAATCTCTGAGAGGTGCTTAGGAAAAGCGCCATCTTACTCTAGGCAGGTTCCCGGAGTGCCCTACGAGGACGAGGACGGTATTGAATCCTGACGGATTTTCTTCCAGAAGTCACTTCCCAACTGTAGTCTCCTGGCAGAAAAGAGGCATCCACCAGCCGGTAATGCCAGACGAGATACCTACAGAGAATGATGTATGAGCTCGTCATAGACACGGTGAATTTCAACTCTCCAGAGTCTAAACGCTGAAAACACCCAACTTGATTTAATGCCTTACACTCTTTATCTCCAATTTTTCAGGACGACACCTGTTAAAATGTTTTGCCACACTTTCAGCGTGTATTTCGATTATCTTTTTGGAAAATTTGATCCTGTTAAATACACTCTAAATGCGATCAACCCAATTCCTGATAAAATTGGAAGCATAATGAACTATCTAATGGCCGCTATTAGCTCCCAGTTCTATTATGATGATAAATGCTACCGAACTCTCACCATAAATAAGATCTTTCTGCGCCCCAAAAGTAAACTTAATTACAACACGGTAACTTAGTACAGATAGCAAGTGGCAAAACTGAGATAGGAACTCAAGCCTTCCTCATTACAACAGCAGCAGTCTTCATCACTTTGTTGACTGGTTGAAAACCTGCCTCTAATTTGTCTACTCCACCTTGGAAAGTGATATCTTAAATTTCAAAAAGAATTACAATATTTATCCCTGGCGAGGACGTGAGGAATGGTCTAATCTCATACACTGTTGGCAGGATTGTAAACTGGCACAGCATTTTTAAAAGGGAAATTAACAGAATTTATCAAAATATTAATTGGACGTAATCTTCAATTTAGCAGTTTCACTAATAAGTATTGTAGAGAAATCCTTATATGCACAAAAAAGTATGTACAACAATACTACAGCATTGTTTGTAGTAGTGAAAAAAATGCAAACAACATGACCATCTATCAATGGAAAATGGTTAATGGCACGTCTATTACTATGAGATGTTTTGAACTAAAGGGTTAGCCATTGAAAGAGATCAAGATTTTTTAAACCCAACTGCAAAAAACATACAGCATTATCAACTTTTGTCGAAACACCCCAAAATTATATATGTATGCATGTAAATGCATTGAAAAGGCTTTCAAAGGATATAGGGCTAAGTAGGGGAAAGAAACTTATTTTCTCCTCCATATATTTCTCTGTTACGATTTATATAGCTATTATCTTCACTGAATACATGTTAAAAGAAAAATAAAGACAAAAAAGTGGTTTATTACTTGTTCCGTATTTCTGACCCTATGATCTCATCTGAAGCCTAGGTCATATGACTACACCACATTGTACCTCTTTTTTTTCTCTCTCTTCTGTGTTATCACTGGCGATCATTTTTGGAGGATTCTGGCTTCTGGTTCACCTTCTTACTGGTTTACACTCTTCCTCTCTCCCAAATCTTTTACAGATTTCGAAGTCCATATAGTTAACTCTTCCTAGCTATGCAATCTCCTGACATAAATCTAACCATCTTTACCTCTCTTTTCTACCTCACCTGTTATTCTTCATGTTCTGCACATTGTTAGCCTTCTCCTCTTTATTCCTCCCCCTCCTTGTTTCAACAGTTCTCTTGCCAGCATCCTTAAGCTTCCTTTCCTCTTTGTCTTTCCATCACAGCCAACCCAAAAGACTCCAGTCATATGTATTCCAACCATCTCCCGCCATCATTCTCCAAAAGCAAATCACGCAAGTATAAAGATTGGTGTCCCTAAAAGTTTATGGGTTTGAGTCTCAGCTTTGCCTTTAACACCCAGATTTGCCATTGCTAGTTTTTATTTTCATTCCCTTTAATGGTTGTTCCAAATTTTGCTGCCCTTTCAGGCCTTCAACTCTAAGTCTTCTCCTTTTCTTTCTTGACAGGTGAAACATCTTACTACTTCCCTAAGAAAATAAAAGTTTATGCGAACTCTCTCAACTTAATGACACCCTATTCATAGTCCTATCTGCATCTTCACCTATTCTTTTTCCTGTCCACTTGTGTGTGCCCTGGATTCTCTACTCCCCAATCTCCTCAGGGACCTGGCTTAATCAGTTACCTCCTTTCTTTCCTGTATCTTAAAACTCATTTTCCATTCACCCCTTTCCCTCAGCATATAAGTATATTCAAGTCCTTTCACACACACACAAAAAAACTTAACCATGTTTTTTCTTTATATAAATTTAAATTTCCCTTCTCTTGCTTCATCTCAACAAAAACTGAAAAAAATAGTCTTCCTCACTCTCACCCACAGTGTCCTCTCTAGCTTAACTGATCACATTGCCATAATTTTCCATACATGCCATTTTTATTCATGCTGAACATATTTGCACAGACCGAAATGCCCTTCCCATTCATTCCTTGGGAAGATGCCTTTAGATCTAATCCAAATATCAATTTATCTGAGAAGTTTTCCTCAACTTCTCTGAATAGAACTGGTAACTGCCTCCTCTATGCTCCCACATTTTTATACCTGTTTTAGTTCTTATCACATTGCATTCAACTGCTGTTTGGCGTATCTGTTTTCCAAGGGAAAGAAACAGGTTTGTGTTTTCCCAGCATCTAGCACAGTTTTCAGACTATAGTAAGAACTCTCTATGTTTATTTGCTAAATGAGTGATCATTTCAGCCAGCCTTCACAGGGATGATTTGTTCTTTCCCAATCAAAATAATTAAAAATGTCTTGGGGCCTACAGCCGGGTGCGGTGGCTCAAGTCTGTAATCCCAGCACTTTGGGAGGCCCAGACGGGCGGATCATGAGGTCAGGAGATCGAGACCATCCTGGCTAACATGGTGAAACCCCATCTGTACTAAAAAAAAAAATACAAAAAACTAGCCGGGCGAGGTGGTGGGCGCCTGTAGTCCCAGCTACTTGGGAGGCTGAGGCAGGAGAATGGCGTAAACCTGGGAGGCGGAGCTTGCAGTGAGCTGAGATCCAGCCACTGCACTCCAGCCTGGGCGACAGAGCGAGACTCCATCTAAAAAAAAAAAAAAAAATGTCTTGGGCCTGCACAGTAGCTCATGCCTGTAACCTCAGCACCTTGGGAGGCCGAGGCAGGCAGATCACTTGAGGTCAGGAGTTTAAGACCAGCCTGGCTAACCTGTTGAAACCCTGTCTCTACTAAAAATACAAAAACTAGCTGGCCATAGTGGTGCGTGCCTGTAATCCCAGTTACTTGGGAGGCTGAGGCAGGAGAATCACTTGAACCCAGGAGACGGAGGTTGCAGTGAGCCAAGAAAGCGCCGCTGCACTCCAGCCTGGGATACTGAATGAGACTCCCTATTAAAAAAAAAAAAAAAAAAAATTAAAAATGTTTTGTCTTGAACTTATCTTTACCCACCACTGGGGAGTAGTAACTACACAGCTCACAGGTTCTGGGCTGAGAGCAGACTGTGCTGAAAGTCAAGCTAGTGTTCTTGTATGTGATTTTGTAAGTATATGTGATTTAACCAAGTTTAACAAAAGCATTGTTGAAATTCATGGAGGCCTTACCCATCTCAAATCTTGATCACTTTTAGATGTAATTTAAACATGAAAATAACTTATGGTTTTCTTAACTTATCCCCGCCAGTAACATATTTCCCAGCTCTTCTTTACACACACACACAAAAGGTATTTGTCACAGATTAAATTCTGACTTATCTTTGCTCAGGGTACTGCTATCAATGGTATTTGTTAAAGTATAATTTTCCTAAATCCTGAAGTTGCTACACATGCAGCGGTAATAAAAATTGTAATGAGATTCGAATCATAGTTTACAGGAATTTTTTAGCTAGAGTAGACCTTAATAACCTTTTAGGTCAGATCTCATCTAAAGACATAGTTGGTGATGCAGTCAGGATTAGAACTTCATATCTTGTGATTTACAAACTAACACTCTTTCCAGTGCGAGATGGTTAAGGCCTCCATCAATTTCAACAATTCAAAAAACGAACAATTTTTTGAAGTTGAAAACACTGTATTGGTCTTACCGTGATTTCGTATTTTAATCAAGTAGCAATTAAAGTCAGCCATTGACCTAAATCTAGCCATACCTACTCCTTGCTCTGTCGTGTTGTGCTGCAGCTGCTGTGTCAGGTTAAACGGGCTTTGCTTGTAAATTTGACAATCTTCAAATCTGAGGGGTTATGAATTCTAACTTTGATTTATTTACTGCTGTATCGCCAACACCTAGAAGAGTGCCTGGCACATGGTAGGTGTTCAATCAATATTTGTGGTTTAAAGGACAATAATCTAGAAACCTAAAGAGAAAAAAAAATAAAAAAGATTGAGAGTCCTATAACTACAGAACTTAGGATCAAAGCCACTTTAGTATTAATACTATTCATGAAGAAAACACATCAGGTTCTACAGCCTGAACAGCAAAGGATATGTCTCACTCGGGACACTTGAAGTTAGAATTCTGTTTCCTGATGATTTAAGGGAAATAGCCTTTCCTCCTACACGTCCAAGCTATATAATAGCTTCAGAACATGAATAAAACTTGGCCCCAGGGAGATTTACAGCAATGACTCACGCTTTGTGAATCTCTGCTCCTTAATGAGGATGTGAGGCATCTGGCAGGTGCTGGGTGTAATTAGGAGAAGGACCAGGCCCTAAATCTAAAGATATCTGCTTTTTCCCCCAATTCCATCATCCCCTACTACACCATCAAATGGAAATCCAACAGAAAGTATTTATACTACCTGCTATAGTTACTAGAGTGCAGATGACTTACTAAGGAAATAGTTGATTTCCAGAGCAATGAGCTTATGCATTGAAAAGTCTTAGAGGACATTTCTCAGACCCCAGATTGTCAAAAATTTAAATATCTGTCAATACCCAGTGCCGGTAAGGATGTGGGGCAATGGGAACTTTGGCAGTATCTGGTAAAATGGAATATGCTCATACTGCATTACACCTGAATTCCCTACTTAGGTAGAGCAACTCCTGGAAATATACAGTAGGAAAAATGTGCAAGAATTTCACTGCAGTGCTGTTTACTATTTATAATACCAAGACATTGGAAATAACTCAAATGTCCATCATTAGAACAAACAATGGGATAGTATAAATAGTGAACATACATGAACTACTTGCTGTGTGCTTCAACATAGATGACAAAAATACAATATTAAGCAAGGGAAAACAAATTTAAAAATAAAACTGTCCTATTTATACAATCTTAAAAAAAAGGCAAATCTAAGATGGTATTAACATTTTTTGAAATGTGAGGAAATGATAAATACAGGCCAGGCACGGTGGCGAGCGCCTGTAATCCCAGCTACTCCAGAGGCTGAGGCAGGAGAATCGCGTAAACTCAGGAGGCAGTGGTTGCCGTAAGCCAAGATCGTGCCATTGCACTCCGGCCTGCACAACAAGAGTGAAACTCCGTCTCAAAAAAGAAGAAAATGATAAATACAAAATTTCCAGTTGTGATTACTCGGCAAGGAGGTGCAGGAGGTAGATCAAGGTAGTTTGCAGAGGGTGCTTGAGAGAAAATGGTAGCAATCTATTTCTAATGCTGAATGGTAAGCCATGGATGGTACTTTTATTATTCAGAATGTATCTATTAATTATATGCACTCTTCCAAACATATAACACACAATAAATTAT